CGTGTCCCCGGTGTGTCCTCCGTGTCACCCGCGTGTCCTCTGTGTCCCCGGGATCTGCCGGCACAAAAGGCGCTGCAGGGATGGGTCTGACCGGGCTTTGGGGATGCGATCCGAACTGACTCCGAGTGCCGCGCTGGGAAGGAAATTAGGGATGGAATAGGAATAACAATGCAACAGGAAAGGGAACTGAATAGGAACGGAATAGAGCGGAATTAGAATGGAATTAAAGCAGTTGGAGTATAATAGAACAAAATTAGAATAGAATTAGAATGGAGTAGAATAGAATTAGAATAGAAAAGGAATGGAAGTAATGGCAGGCTCAGCTGCAGGAAGGACGGAATTCTTGCTGGTGGTGTGACTGGAACCTCAGCGTTTATCACAGAAATTCAAAGGGCCTGACTCACCTTGGGTTGGCTCCCAGGGATTTTCAGAGGAAGCAGGAAGGGAACAACACAAACTTCTCCGAGTCACTCCCCTTCCCAAAGCTCCGGCTTCTCTGGCACTGTCAGACCCTCAGATCTGCCCTGTTTCTCCAAACAAGAGGAATTTAACAAGTAGTTGCAGTTTCTTGCGAATAAAACTTGTTTTATTAAAGAAAAGCAAAGCATTTTATTCTTGATGGAAGGGAAGATACACAATTCCCTCCAAAAAAATCTTTATTTGCAGGGCAGCAGCACTTGGCCATCACTCTGGGTAGGATTTCCAGCTCCAGTGTTACTTGTGCTCCACTGGGATCAGTAACTCTGTCTGAAGTCTTTGGGATTTGCTTGTGGAACCCACTGAAGAATAACATGCCCAAAGTTATTTTTTTATATATATATATATTTTTTTTTTCTTTATTTAAGCATTCTCCAGTGCGATTTGAATGAAGTACCCCAAAGTAAAGGCCCTCTCCAGTGTTCCCGTCCACAGGCCTGGACAAGATGCCAAAGCAGGTAAAAAGAAAAGCAGGAATTGTGTGTGCTAATTAAATGTAACTGCCAGGAGAGAATTCTTGGCTTGTTTCCACGCAGTCAAGATTAGGTAACTACTAATGAATATTCACCCCTGCTTCACGAATTGACTGGACTATTTACTGTGGGTTTGAGCTGAATTAGAGACACCAGGGCAATGATTTTTGTGGTGCCCTGGGCTCTACCAGGGCAGCAGTTCATGCAGGCAGCAAGCACATCCTAAGGGTGTTTGTGCAGGAAGGTGAATGGGCACGAGAGTTGGGATTTATTGTCAAATATTCTTTTGCTTTTGGCTGAGCAGGGCAGCAGAGCCAAGCCCTTCCTCAGGCCTTGCAGTCTCACAGTGGGTTTGGCTTGCCTGGTGTGACACAGGGGCACGGGGGGAAAGGGGAATGGCAGGAACTCCTCAGCCCATGCAGGGTTTCCTAATTGTGGTGTCTGTTCTCTGACAGCAGCAAGCTGCTTAGCGCTCATTCAGAGCAGAAGAACAGAAATCACTTGGATGGCAGGGCTTTACTGCGTTGCTAAGCTTTTTTTCCCCCTTACTGTGTAAAATTCTGTATCACTAGAAATGAAGTATTTGTGCTGTCTGCAAAAGATAAAAATGCTCCTAAATGAGCAGCTTTTCATTTTTTTTAGGAACATGCTAAGTGGGGTTTGCAGTGCATTTCCCCTGTATTAATGAGCTCAGCTCACATAGTGGGAATGCTGCTGACTAAATTTAGCATTTTCTGTATAAACAAGGTGATGCTGTCCATGGGTTAGCTTGTGGTTCAGGTGAGCAGGGATAGTTTGGAGAACTTCCTGTCAAGGAGATAACAAGAGGAGTGTACAGAATGCAGAAATCAGGACTGGCACCTTTTCCACTCTTCATTTTCTCTTCTAGCCTCTCCTTTCCCCAGCAATGGCAAACAGGTCCTGGAATCTCTCTTCTGGCTGGTTTTCCATTACACACAACAAGTGTGCCCTTCCAAATCATGTTGTCAAGGACATGGGAGCCCAGAGGCTGAGATTTGAATATTTTAAGTGATTCAGAGGGGACAAAACTTCAGCTAAGGCAGGGCAGCTCCTGTCCCAGCACCATTCCTGTGCCCTGGCTGTGCTGTGTGCACTCTGCAGCTTTCACCCTGTAAATAAGAGTGTCTGCTAGGAAAGCTGCATTTGTTTTAGCCTGCAGGGGCTCCCAGCTGTACCTGCAGCTCTTCCTGCCTGCCTGAGCCCAGGGCACTGCTTGGAGTGAATGCATGACATGCAGAGCTTAGAAATGAGCCAGTTTAAAGAGCATGGAGTGTGTGAGTGCAGAGCTGCAGTGTGAGCCCAAGGCCACGTTCTCTGAGTGCCTCTGCTCACAGCCAGAACCCTTTTCTAAGATCAGAGCAGGAGGAGGAGCAGCTCTCACACCCTGGGGTCTGGCTCCTGCTGGGACTGAAATTCAGTGACATGGAAGCGGCAGAAGAGCTGGAACAGGGGATGAGGGGAAAGTCCAGCTCTTCACCTTTCACTGGTGCTGATCTGCCATCCCCTCCAGGAAAATGGCCAAAGGGAAGATTCTCTCATCCAGAATGACCTCAGTGAATCATTTGAAGAAGAAGTCAGGGCCTTCCTCGGTGATGAAGAGAAGCTGCATCTTTTTGATGACCTCACCAAGGTGAACCCGGTGACAACCAGGACAGGTGAGCAGCCAGGGAGTGTCTGCTGAGGGCTCCCCTCCCTGCTGGGCTCTGACAGCTCCTGCTCTCACTGCATTAACACCATCAGCACAGGAGCTGTGTACATTACACCTACAGTTGTGTATATTCCACCTACAGTTGTGTACATTCCACCTGCAGCACTCTCTTGGTCACCTCATTCCCTGTTAAACCTGACAGGTAACACACCTGAGACTCTTGTTAGCAACAGGCACAGCAAGGGTCAAACACACTTTGCAAAAGATGCTGACAGAAGCTGTTGCTTTTCAGTTCTGAAATGTCTTCAAGCAAGATACAGAGTCAACCTGTTCTACACAAATGCTGGCTGCAGCCTGGTGGCTTTAAATCCTTTCCAGCCTTTCTCCTGCCTCTACTCACCTGAGCTGATGAGGGAGTACCACGTTGCACTTTGTCCTCAGGTAACCCTGTGTGTGAGATCACTGTCCTTCTGCAGAGCCCAGCTGTCAAACTGCTCCAAATTTATCTGAGAAAATACTCCCACAGGATAAACCCCATTTCTTGTGAAATGTTAGTTCTGTTAAAAGAGCAGGGCTGTTTTCAGGTGAATGTGATATGACCCTTGCTGTCCATTGCTGTTGAACTCTGTGGTTACTATACTCTTAAATATGAATATTCTCTTTCACTGCCAGGATTTAAAACCTCACATCTTTGCAGTGGCTGAGCAAACCTACAGGAATGTCCAAAAGCAGATGGACCCCGTGAACCAGTCCATCATTGTGAGTGGAGAAAGTGGTGCTGGGAAGGTAAGGAAATGTTTTTCTGTGACATTGCTCTCAAGCTTTGAGCTCTGCCAGTGATTTGTAGTGCAGAGTAGTGCAGTGAATGAGCAAAGATGAATTAAAACCCCTCTGACACAGCACGTAGCCAATCTGCCCAGCACGACTCTCTTGAAATGTGTGTGAAGCATTAAGTGATTGCTGCAGTTAAACACACTCTGCTTAATATAGCAGCTCTTCAGGTGACATCTGTCATTTCTGGAGGGCTGGCTTTGAATCATTCAGCAGGAAATGCACCTGAGTTCAGCCTGGTCTGTCAGGGAGCTCAGCAAACCCTCTGTGCAGACTTGGAGCAGTGGGTGCAGCTCCTGCCCTGGCCCTCCTGTGATGGTCCATCCCTGCTCAGCACTGAGGGTATTTTAGAGCCCAAGAACAGGATGCTTTGCTGAATGTTAATGACTCAAATCCATTCACATTCACTCCATCCCAAGGCAGTGGCTGTTCATCCTGGCTGAGCCTCCAGACGGTGACACTCCATGGAGACTGCCACTGCAGCAGCACTGAAATGTGTGTCTGTGGCACAGAGCTCCAAACCTGACACAGTTCCTCTCTGTAGCCTCCCCTCCACCTGCACCCTGTGTTTCCTGAAGGCAGCACTGCTCCACTGCCATAACTGATAAGCTGTTAAAGAGCTACTGTCACATCTCTCCCTTGCAGACCTGGACCTCTCGCTGCCTTATGAAGTTCTATGCCTCTGTGGCTGCCTCAGTTATCTCCCCAAAAGGCAATGAAACTGTGGAGAGGATAGAGAGGAGAGTGCTGGATTCCAACCCTGTCATGGAAGCATTTGGTAAATGTGGCTGTTTTAGCAGCAAATAAAGTAATGGCCACTGTGGGAATTTCCATTTGTTCCCACACGAGTCTCAGCTGTCTCTTGGTCCTCTCCTTACAAACAAACTCCTCAAATACTGGAGCTGCTTCCAGAGCACCCTAGATACCTGTGTGTGCTGCCTGGCAGAGTGGGACCACTCTGATGTTCTGTGTCTGCCACTGGCAATTTACAGGGAATGCCTGCACCCTGAGGAACAGCAACAGCAGCAGGTTTGGGAAATACATCCAGCTCCAGCTGGACAGGTAAGGATCACTGGGTAAAACCTTACCTCTTGTCTTGGTCCTTTAAATCTTTATCATCTTGTTCCTTTAAAGCTTATCTCTGAAATCTGCCATAGAATATTGTATGTTTTTAGAGCATATTTTGGTTTGCTGGCATCTTAAACTGTTATTATTTTCCTTTTTTTCTCTACAAGCTTTCACCATAAAGGTCTCTAAAAGAGTGCAATAGAAAAACAGAGATGTAGTTAAGAACTCTGAATGAAATATGAACAAAACTGAAGGTGAACTGCAAAGCATTCACAGTCAGTTGGTCTCAGAACAACACAACCCTCTTGGATTCTGTGAAGATGTTTTGTTGAAATCTTTCCTCTTTTTCCCTCTCCAGATTCCATCATCTGACTGGTGCTTCCATCCAGACTTTCCTTCTGGAGAAAACAAGAGTTGCCTATCAGGCTCCCAATGAAAGAAACTTCCATATTTTTTATCAGGTTTGCCCGCCGTTAATTTTGCTGGGTATTTCTGACACACAGCAGGGATGGAATCACCAGATTTAGCACAGTTGCAACTTTTAATAATTACCAGTTTCCCTGTCTCCTAGGCTTCCAAATTAAATCATCCTCCCAGTATGTTATTCCTCACTGTCTGGGAGCTGTAAACACCAAAGGCAGAATTCAATTTTTACCTTGTTTTCTGCCTCCAGATCACAAAAGGTGCTACAGCAGAGGAGAGGCTGGAGTGGAACCTTCCAGAAGGGGCTGAGTACCGCTGGCTGCCAAATTCTGAAAGAAACTTAGATGGTAAAGATTAGCCTCACTAATTAATTAATCAATCCATTAACAATGGCTGGAGCTTTATAGGGAGGCAGGCAGAAATAGATCCTGTTCAATGCCTTGCTCAGCCAACAGCGGATGTTTTGCAAAGCCACCTGCATTCATGGGATTCTTTCTAAGTTTCACTTGGCACTATTAAAGCTTAAAATCAGTCACCTGGCTTAAACCAGCTGGTTCTGGCAAATTTGCATCTTTGTGGCTTTGTTTAGAAACTGTCTTGTCTTTGCTTGTGCTTCAGCTGACAGAAAAACCCAGTGGGCTGGTTCTGCAGCTTGTGTGTGGGATTTACCCAGACAGCTGCCCTGCTCTGCACTGACCATTCCAGCTGGATGGGACGTGCTGTGATGCTCTGCTTGCCCCTGTTTGTGTGCTTGGCTTGTTCAAGAGCACTGTTTGGCTTTCCAGAGGACTGCTTCGAGGTGACCAGAGGGGCAATGTTCCACCTGGGCATCGGCCGTGCCACGCAGAGCAATATTTTCAAGGTCAGGCACCCGGCAGGGACAGCAGGAGGGTGTTGGGAATGTGTTCCTGGGTGGGATTGGTGCTGGGATAAATCCCTGTCCCTGGGCAGAGCTGCTGCTCCCCACTGGACAGCCCTCAGCCCCACATCAGGCTGCACAAAGGTTAGGTCTGAGCCAAAAGTGTGCGCCTCTGAATTTCAGTGTGCCTTCAGGAACCGCAGAACACACAGAAGTCTGGGGTCTGTTTGCTTCTTGCAGAATTCTTGCTCCTGCCTTCTGTGCAGGAATGTGCAGGAGCTGCCCTGTTCCAGGCTAAAGGAGAGCTCAGGGGAGCCTGCCTTGGGGGGAGCTGTCCTGAAAACCTCCCTGATTGCATTGCAGGTGTTATCAGGCCTCCTGCACCTCGGCAACGTTCAGTTCTCCAATCCACTGGATGAGTCTCAGCCTTGTGAACTGGAGGACAAAACCAAAGGTGAGGCAACAACCATGCCATGCTCCAGAGCCTTGTTAGCTCAGTGCAGATGCCCAAGGGAAAGGATTAGAGAAAAGAATTCTCTCCATTCTTTCCTTCCTTTAATTAGTTAGTTAATTTAGATTTACTTATTACATTTATTTCATTATTAACATTTCTTAAAAATTATTAAATCTACCAAATTTTCACTTGAGTAATTTTAACTATTATTAATTTTCATTATTAATTCCTTTTAACTACTAATAAGTCTAATTACTTTATTAATAACTTAATTTTGAAAATTAGTAAGTTTGTTTAAACTGTATTGAATTTACTGCATTTTAAATTATTAAATTGGATTTGTTTAATTTAAATTCATTTAATTCAGAAAGAATTAAAGAATTTGAACAATAACTCTCCTGCTGATAGGAGACAATCAAAGCTGTGAGCAACCCAAAATTTAGGTGTGATTTTGTGAACAAAGAAAAACCTAATGCTCCCCTGCCCTGAGAGATAATATCCCTCCCTGACAGGTCAGGGCAACTGCAGCACTACCCAGTGATTTCAGGAGGATTATTGGCAGAACTGTGCCTCTTGTCTGTAATCTTACTCTGCCATCACAGGGCTGGCAGAAATCTGACCCAGAGGCAGAGCAGGGCTTTTCACAGGAAAGCTTCAAAGTTTTTCATGATAAAGGCCAAAAGGCAGTGACAACAAATCTGTTAAATTGCAGCAGAAACAGAGGTTGTTCTGCCTGTCTTCAGGAGGCTTGTGGATCTGGATTTCCTTCAGAGATAAAACTGCCCTGAATAGGGAAGGTTCCTGCTACAATTTCAGGGCATGCTCTGAAATCTAACTACTTAATATTCGAATAATTTTGAATGCAGCTCAGCTGAGAAAGATAAATGTTTTGTCAGCAAATACACATTCTTCTACACTTCCTTTCTATCCCCAAATCCCTGCTTGTTTCCTGGTTATGACTGATTGATTTGTCTGTCTGGATTTTGAGGTCCCCTCTCAAAAAGGTGATAAAGTAACAAAGACACACCTAGAGAGAAAATCAACTTCAGTCTGGCACACTTCAGCTTTTTCTGGTATTCATTCTAAAGAGAGGATCCAGAATTCTTGAGGCATTCTGCATCCAAATTAAAGAGTCTGGTTTTGCAAAACTTAATCCCAAGTTTGGGCAGAAAGATCCAAAATCCACATTTAATTTGGAGAGCTGACGGAAGTGGCATTTTCACACACCATCTCCAGACCTTCCTTTCCTTCAGAGGTGTGAGCACAGCAGGTAACCTTGCACTGTTTGTTCTCCTGAACAAGAGTTTGTGAGGACCACGGGGGAGCTGCTCCAGATTCCCACTGAGGAACTCCTGGAATGTTTAAGGATCAGAACAATCACTGCTGGGAAACAGCAGCAGGTGTTCAGGAAGCCATGCTCCAGAGCTGAGTGTGAGAGCAGGAGGGACTGCCTGGCCAAAGTCATCTATGCCAGGTAAGGGCGGCCTCATCCAGGTGATTTTTGGAGGGAATGGGGAGGCCAGAGGGATTCACTTGCTGCTGTTTCATGGCAGCACATCAGAAATTCCTCTTCTTTCCAAGTGACACTGATGGAAACAGCAGTAAAAGAAACAATTCTGACTATTGCAAGCAAGCAGCCTCCAGCTAATCCCTCTGTTGCTGTCTGCAGGTTGTTTGAGTGGCTGGTGTTGGTCATAAATGAAAACATCTACACAGAGCCCTCAGTGTGGACCAGCTTCATAGGTATGGATATCCCACCCTGCTTTAACTCAGGGGCCAGCAGCCCTCCAGGCTGCTCCTGAACTAAAGCTCCCTGTCCTCCCACACTGCTTCCAGGTTTGTTGGATGTTTATGGGTTTGAAGCCTTCCCTGAAAACAACTTGGAGCAGCTCTGCATTAATTATGCCAATGAGAAACTGCAGCAGCACTTTGTAGCTCACTACCTGAAGGCACAGCAGGTAATAGCCAAACTGAAGACCAAATCTTCAATATCTGATTTAAAAGAGCATTTTTTGTCACTTTGATTGCATTGCTGTGCCCGTGGTGAGATGGAACCTTCAGTCAGTAATGGCACAGAAAGCAGTGGGAGGGAGCAGTGCCTTTGTAAAGAGGGGAGTGTGGGGCAGTGGGAATGGCCCAGCTTTGGCTCCTGGGCACTGGAATTCTGTTCCCAGCCCCACTGGATCTCTGCTTGCTTCTCCTCAAAGAGCTGAACACTAAATTCTTGGGCTAAGAGCAGCCTGAATTGAGATTCTCTGGGAGGTTTCTGCTCACAGCCATGAAGCATAAAGCCCCTAAAGAGTGGAGTTCTGGGCTGAGCTTGGTGTGAAGGCAGAGCTCTGTCACCCACACCTGGGCATGTGGGACCTGTGGAGCCCTCATGCCCCAGGGGCACAGCTCCCTGACCCCAGCCATGCTGGTGCCTTTAAAACAACCCCCAGTGCGCTCCAGCTTTATCCTTGAGTGAGGAGGGACACAAATGCTCTTGTTTCACGGCAGAGAAGGATTTTTTTGCACTGTTCAGTCCCTCAGTGGTCACACACTGCTCATTCCAGCTCTCATCTGAGTGCCTGCAAGGTGCAGAGTCCCTGCCAGGGCTGCTGCTCTGCCCCTCCCCACTGCAGATCCATTACCAAAATGCTCTTTGCCATTAACTGGAATCAGGGAAATTGTTTTCTTTATGGCAGCAGCGTGCTGGCACCTCCTGCCTCACAGCGGGGTTTTGTCAATTTATTCAGGAGTCAAGTATTTCTTTGACTGCCATTTGTGCTTTGCTATTGCCAGACTGCTTTCCCTGGCTGCCCTGGTCAGCATGCCAGGGGTTAATGGTCAGGGAAGATGGAAAGCAAGTTCAGGCACACAATTGCTTTGCTTGAAATGGCTCCATGACCTCTGTTTACAGCACCCCTCCCACTCACTGCCTGCCCTCTTACCTCTGGATCTGGCTGTCCCCCAAACCACTTAAATGCCATTAGTGGCTGTGCTGAGCAAGCTTTTGGCAGGAGGCTTTTCAAATAACTGCCCAGAGCTTGTGCTTGTTAAACACTGCTGACAGTTTGTCCTGTAATTCAGCATAAATATTGTACCAATTATTCCAGCCAGTATCTCCCTGCACTTCCTTTCAGATCAGGCTTTGCTCTAAATGGAGCTCAGGCAGTAAAGGCTGGCACACAAAGGTTGGGCTGGGGCTGTGTCCCAGTCCAGGGAAGGAGTTCTGCTTGTTCCTTGTCCTTCAGGGAAAATCTCAGCACAGCCAGGAGAGGCTTTGTGTGACTGTGGCCTTTGTTTGCTCTCTAGAGCAGCCTTGCAGCTCACTCTGATAAATCCACGGGGTTCCCAAATCCTCAGATAAATTGTTCCAGCAGGTTCTGATCCACACCCAAAAGCTACCTGGGGTAGGATATCCTCATGTGGGTTGTTTTTTTTTCTCAAGCTTGGTGTTGACCTGGAGCTGAGCTGGGATTAACTCCTCAAACAGGACCTGGATCAGCTGCCCAAGGCACAGAGCTCTGAGCTCTGGTGCCCTCTGCTGCAGAATAACCCCTTTCCTCTCCCTGCAGGAGGAATATGCAGCTGAGGGCCTGCAGTGGTCGTTCATCAACTACCAGGATAACCAGAACTGCCTTGACCTGATAGAGGGAAATCCTCTCAGCATTTTTTCCTTGCTGAATGAGGTAAGTGGGATCCAAACCCTTCATTTCTTGGGCCCAGGTTCCTGCCTTTGTCCCACACCACCAAAGAAAACACAAACAGTAAATTAATAGAAAATCTGTCAGCTGTAACATTTCTGCAGGGTTTCAGTTTCACAAAATCTGCTTCCTCCTGTTCTGAGCTGTGTTTTCCCCTCTGATCCTGGATGTTCTGATTCAAATATGAAACCTCAATTACTTCTTTCCTCCCCAGTATTTCAGGCCTTGCATACTCAAAGCAGCTCTGAAGGTAAAATTGCTACGATTTGAATGTTAAATTGTTGTAGCTTTTAGAGTCAGGTCTTTGTGCCAAACAAGAGATGCTGCAGTTGTGTGTCCTTGCAGGAGTGTCGCCTGAACAGAGCCTCCAACACTGACCTGTTCCAGACCAGGATTGAGAAAGCCTTGTCCAGTAATCAGTGTTTAAGTCGAGATAAATTCAGTAAGAAGCCCAACTTTATCATTTCACATTATGCTGGCAAAGTCTGCTATCAGCTGGCAGCAATGGTGGAGAAAAATAAGGTAGGTGTTTGCAGAAAGAGCTGTTTAAAAAAAAATCTTAAAAGTATCCTATAGGCCTAAAGTGATTTAAGTCAAACAAATCTATTCGGTGCTGGGTGCTGGACATACCTTGCTGCAAATAAATCCTTCAGGCCATGTGAAGCTGGGTGATGTCCTTAGTGGGATCTCTGAACCATCACTGGCACCAGCAGATGCTTTGTTACAGCTTTGAGCTGGGGTTGAGGTGAACCATCACCAAATCAGGGCTTCTTCCATTCCTGGGGGATGCAGAATTGTTAATGGCATCAGGGCATTTTTATAACTGCAAATACAGCACTTAATTCCCCCAAAAAATCAGATAAATTTATGAGAAACGAGAGCTGGGCTTAACTGCTGAAAGTGCTCAAAGTGCTCAAATTTTGGCCATCAGGGAATAAGTGAAATGTGGAATAGCCTGCAGAGAGCAGAGTCCCTTCTCAGCTCTGACATCCCCAGCAATTATGGCAAGTGCTGTTATTTATTTAGCAATAAAACTCCATCTCTTAATTCAAAGGAATATTTCTAATGCCTGCTGCAGTCTGTCCTTCAGGGATTAAACCACTCCTGAGAGCTGGAGCTCCCTTAGGCTGTGTAACAAGAGCAGTGATGGGAGCAGTTGTACATTTGCTGAATGTTCAGCCAAACATTGTTTTCTGTTCCTAAATCTGACTGTGAATGAATGCACATCATCAGATTTGAGACTGCAGCTGTGGTCACATCAAATCTGGCATGAGAAGTTCTGTTCTGTCTCTAAATGTGCAATTCTTAGTTATTTTCAGAGGTGCAGCTGCCTGCCAGGTACTGACAGGTCATGTCTGTTTGCAGGATGCTGTTCCTCCAGAGCTGATCCACGTTTTGCAGACCTCAAAGGATCCTTTGCTTCAAAAATTATTCCCTGTGACAGAAAACAACCAAAATAACACCAAAACCCAGAACAGAGCAGCTGTTGTTACAGTGGTGTCCAAGTTCAAGGTACATCCTATTCAGGTTTCTGCTGTAATTTTGGGAACTTTCTGGATTTACCATCAACAATTTGATGAAATGCATCCACAGAGTGGATTTTGTGCTCTAACAGAGTCTGTAAAGCCATCCTTGCCCAGGACAGCTCCATGGGGTGGGAGGCAGATCCCTGAGGAGGAGGAGGAGCCCTGCTGAGCTCTGTTTGTTCCTGCAGAGCTCCCTGGAGCACCTGATGGAGATTCTGGGCAGAACCACTCCCCACTACATCCGCTGCATCAAGCCCAACGCTGACTGCAGGGCCATGACCTTCAGGAGAGAAGAGGTAACTCCTCCAGAGCCTTCCCCAGGGCTCTGCACTTTCTTAGCACCTTGAGTCACTTGCAAAGCACATTTTGGAACAGATAAAGCCCCTTCCAGAGTCACTGAGGTGCTTGTCCAACACAGCTCTCCAGCTGCACCTTGCTTGTGGCTGGGGTGATTTGGGTGCTGCCCTTCCAACAGCAGCCCTGGGCACACAAACACCTTCAAAACAAAACTGTGCTCACTCCAGGAAGCTGAGCAGCTTTGGGAGCAGAGCAGCAGATGCTAAAGCTGTAACCAGAGAGCCTCATCTGATGGGCAGTGAGGCTTCAAACACCCCTGGAATCTGCTGAGCCTGGAAATACCAGCACTGAGCCTGGGAATGCCAACACTGGCTGTGGATGCCCAGGACAGGGCACACAAGGAGCAGCTTCCACCAAAGTCAGCTTTGCCTAAACCATCTCAATTTGTGCCTCAGGTTCTCAGCCAGCTCCAGGCCTGTGGCATAGTGGAAGCCATCACCATCAGTGCAGCAGGTTTCCCAGTCAGGTAAGTCCAGCCTCTTCAGCATTTCTAATACCTTTCTATAGCTTTTAGTGGTATTTAGTTATTCAGAAGAGCTTATAAGCAAGAAACCCAAATATTTTGCACCATCAGCATATCCAAGCACAATCCCTGCCCTGGCTTTGCTGCTGTTACTGGGAAATCTGAATTTCTTCACAAGTTCTGAACTTTCTGGCCTGTTTGACCATTACAGGCATCAGTCTGTTTGCATCCCATGCACGGGATCCACAAAGCCATTCTGGAATTTTCCCTCCTCAGAGGATGAGTTATTTACCATTCAGCAAAAAGGATCAGTTATTTACAGTAATGGTTCTGGCCTGGAATTCACTGCACATTTTACATTTTGTCTCCCAGGATCCCTTTCCAAAGTTTCACTGAGCGCTACGAACTGCTGAGGAAATCCTGGGGCTCCAGCAAAAAAAGAGTGTGGGATAAAAGCAGCTCTCATCCTGCTGAGAAAACAGGTAAGTTTCTTCAGGTAATCCCTCTGCCACCACGTCAAATTGTCACTGCACCCATTTGGTATCACACAGATCAGGTAATTCTATATTCACCACTATTCTAAAATATTTCTTTAACCTGTCACCAACCTGAGTTTCTAATTTGCTTAACCCCTAAAATCTTACCCCTCACTGCTGGTTTTCTGTGCTCCTCCTGGGTGGAACAATCAGTTTCAGAGGTGTCTGGGGTTCCCCTCACCCAATATAATTTGATTTAGAGTTATTCTTTAGTAGACTTGAAAGCCACTTACCTTTTGCTTTATTTTCCTTTTCCTTCCTTTCTTTCCCCCTCCTTGTTTCCTTGCTGAATCACTGACCTTCCAGCTTACCTGGACTCTGCTGCTTCTTGCACCTCTTGCACTCTTCTCTTTTTCTAAGCAAGAGTGAGGATGGACTTTAACAAACACAACCCAGCCCACAGGTAATGCCTTTGCTATGAGCTCCTCAAAGGAGGAGCTCACCAGGTGGTTACATTTAATATTAAAGGTTTTTGCAGCCCCTTTCTGTGCCCAAATTGATTCCCTTTTTCACCCACTGGGTCAGTTCAATGAGCAGCAGCTGTGGGAAGCAGGACCAGCCTGTTCACATGAGTAAAACTGGTGTAAATCTGTTCACCCTGTGGAAATGGGGTGAAGCAAGGAAGTGCAGGTTGGAAAATGACTTACACAGTGGATCTTTCCCCCTCAATTACAAACCCATTAACTGCAAAGCCTCTTTGTGATGGGTTTTTAGTCGTTTTTATCTTGAGGGGTAATAAGCTGCAAACAAAGCAAAACAACTGCCCAAACACAGGAATAAGCTTTTGGTTCCTTTATCAGCCCAGCCCCATGAACACCATCAGAGCCACCAGATGTCTTCCTGTATGCAAGAATTGCTTCTATTTGTTTTCAGGACCTTAAAATGCTCTCATCTCCTTAGAAATATTTATAGCAGAAAAGCAAACAGTATCCAGGATGGAATGATGCAAAACCCATCCAGCCCTGTGCATGCAGGAACTCCTGCAACAATCTCTTGTTCCAGGTCTGAATTAAGTCTGTCTCCATTTCCAAAGAGATTCATCTGGCTGAGCTGTTTGTGATGTAAAAAATTGTGCACTGTGTCCTAGAAATGGCTTCAATAACCTGTAATTGCTGCCATAAATTCCTGCTCAGCCCAGGACCCCAGAGCTGCTCCCAGGGCCCTGTCACAGCTGTACAATTGTGTAGAATTTGCTTCCCCTTCCTGCACTTTTCAGTACATTAAAGCTACAATTCCCTGCCTTTTGTTCTTTGCTCCCACAGCTTTGAGTTTTCAGTATTTAATGGGATTTTCTTGCTGCTCAGTCTATTCTTAATGGCATTGCTGCTGCTTTCTCCTGCTTCCACGTGGGATGTTTGGGGTGGGAGAACACCTGAGCCTCCCTGGTTCAGCCTAGATCTGCCCCAGATGAGTTTTACCTGTGGAGAACAGAGGTGGTGACAGATGAGAGGGCAGCACCCAGGCACAGCCCAGTCCAAACACCCCACACTGGTTTGCTGCTTGCTGGCACCGGCTGCAATCTGTGCTGTCACACTTCAGCCTTAACCACAGCAGCACCAATTGCTCTCAGCCATCCCCCCCTGCTGCAGGGGTTTCCCCTCTAAGTGGCCAAGAAATCTCAGAGCAAAGACAAGACAGAAATGTCAGAGCAAAGACAATGCCCTGGCCCCAGTTCCAAATGTTGTGGTGCCTTCTCCTCAGTGTTTCCCTTCCAGGTGAGACTGCAGTGATGGGGGATGACAGAGCACCACGTGCTGCTGTGCTGGAGATCCTCCAGGGTGCTCTCAGGGGACAAAGCCCTGCTCAGGCAGCAGGGGATGGAGCAGGAATCCCCTCAGTCTTCTGTGGCAAAACCAAAGTGTTCCTGGCCAATTCCCTGGTAAGTGCTGTTCCTTGGCTCCTGCCTCAGGGCCAAACTCCTGCCAAGCCAGTGTGACCAGAACTGGGCATTTTCCATCCAATTATTAAACCCAATCAAGCACCCATCAGAATCCAGCTCTGCAGAGCACTTTGTGTAATGGGCTCTGTGTTGGGAAGGAGCTGCACTTGTGTCAGAATTCCAGTAAGGATGGCAGCTTTCCTCAGCTCCACAGGACAGGTTTGGCTGGGAAAGAGAGGAGGGAGTCAAAGGCACTCGTGCCAAGCTTGCTGCCTGGAAGCAGCCCCTTCAGTGGAGCTGGGTATGAACCTGCTGCTGCTGGCTCCACCTTCCTCCCCAAGAACTTCCATTTTCATTTCCATGTTACCTGAAAAGCACCAATTGAAGTGCTGTCACTTCCCAAACCCAATCCAGCAGTCACAGGACACTGGAATGAGGCTGTGGTCCCCTGGCAAACACCAAGAGGCTGTAAGAGAGGGAAGAGCTGTGAGCACAATCCCATCCCTGACTGCAGGCTCCTGTTCCCCACTGCAGCTGGAGCTCCTGGAAGCCAGGAGAGCAGAGGTGTTAAATGAGAAGGCATTTTGCATCCAGTGCTGCTGGAGAAGATTTAAGGAGAAGAAAACAGCAAAGGAGAAACGCTCTGCAACTCTCATCCAAGCAGGTGACTTGTGGGGTGGGGCTGGGATAACAGAGCAAGGGACATTTCCAGTCACCCTGGGGGATCACAGTGGCACAAGTGGCCAAGTGCCATCTGCAGAGATTGTGAGCACTCAGGTTTCTCTCATTGCATCCCCAGCTGTTCGCTCCTGGCTGGCCAAGAGTCGCTTCCAGAGGCTGCGCAGGGCTGCCCGCACCATCCAGCGGGGCTGGAGGAGGTGCCAGGTGAGGCTGGGGGGCAGGACAGCACTGCAAGGAGCCCGAGGCTTCTTGGGGTCTGAGAAAGAGTCACAACTGTGAGAACTGCAAACCCAGTGCTCCAGAAAACTCTTCTCCAGCTGAAGAGCAGATGCCAGTCCTGTAGAGCTGCTTCTGGCTCATCCTGCAGCATAAACTCACTCCTTAACTGCATGGAAACTGCGGTGTGCTGTCCTTGCAGACTCCCTCTTTACAGACTCAGCTTTGCAGCCCTGAGTTGTGCCCAGCACATTTGAGAATTGCTGCTGCTGTTGTTGTGTCTTTCAGGCAAAAGCGGCCGCGCTGGCAGCAGCAGAGCTGGACGAGGGGGAAGGAGAGGAGCTGGCAGCCCCTGGAGCTGCCTGTGCCCTGGGCACAGC